ACGTTCAGCAGTCATTCTTTCCATTTGCCTCTAAAGGCTTAGAGATGGTGATAGTTTCCAAATGCTGTTAGACCCCATGTACTTCTCCATCCCTTGTTGGTTCTCTTGATCCTGCCCACACCTCTGTAAATAGTTTTCTTATTAAATTCTATTCAATTCTCATTTGAGTGTGCCAATCTGTTTTCTGCCAGAACCCTGACTGCTACATCGCTGTTCGTGTTCTCTCTTTACTGTGTTTATTCATTTCAAAAATTTTATTCTCATTTTAGCAGAGTTTCTAGAGGCAACAGAAATAAGTGCCATATGTTCAATCTGCTATGTTTAACTGTTAGATATCCTTTTTCCAGGATCTTTTCCTATGCAGAATATCTGACTATTTTCTTTGATATAACATACTGATTTCTCTCCTATGCCCAAAGCAGAAAATTGGAGGTTTAATATCTGAGTAAATTGAAAAGACAGGCCCCAATTCAGGGACTAGCACAGTGGTGGGCAAAGCAGTAGCATGGTACCATAAAGAGTGAGACTAAGACAAAGTCCCTATAGTAAAGGATGACTCTCCACCCACTCTTTTGAATCTCTTTGTGGCAAGAGAGGTGAAAACCAGAATGTTTATAGCTCTATCCCCATGTACCCACCACCAGCCAGAAAATTCAGCTTTCTTCCCCCAGAATAGCCCTATTGAATGGACAACAAAAGATCAGTCAATATTTGAAAAAGACTCAAACAAAAAAGACAAAGACAACCAATGCGAAAGAAAGAAGGAAAGAAAGAAAGAAAGAAAGAAAGAAAGAAAGAAAGAAAGAAGCCATAGTAAGAATTCAAGGGAAGGAAAGGCAATTCAGGACTCAGAAAAAGGAAAAAAAACAAAGAGAAATAAAAAAGAACAATAGATTAGTCTGAGGGAAAAAATGGAGCCAGTGGCTTAGAATTCTGAGGACAAATCCTATCCAATCTAAAATTCTATACCCAGGAAAATTATCACTCAGATAAACAAGTAAAATCCTGACACTTTTATTCAGAAATACTAAATGATGTAAAAAAGGAAGGCAAGAAAGAGAAAGACACAGCACATAAGTAAGGGGAAAAAAAATACCCTGGATTTTAGCGATGGGAAGTTTCAGGATAACAGCTGGGCAACAGGCTTAGTGAGCAACCAGTACCAATTAGAGAATGAAGACAGAGGGCTCCATGAGAGATTCTTCCAGAGAGAAAACTAAACTTATAGAGTATCCAATGTATTTTAATATATTCAAAAATTATTTTTAGTTTTGTTGGACCCATTGGAGTTGAATTAGTGATTTTTTAAAAAAAATTTTCTTTTTTCAACGTTTATTTATTTTTGGGACAGAGAGAGACAGAGCATGAACGGGGGAGGGGCAGAGAGAGAGGGAGACACAGAATCGGAAACAGGCTCCAGGCTCTGAGCCATCAGCCCAGAGCCTGACGCGGGGCTCGAACTCACAGACCGCGAGATCGTGATCTGGTTGAAGTCGGACGCTTAACTGACTGCGCCACCCAGGCGCCCCTGAATTAGTGATTTTGACATGGAAAATTAAGCAAACAAATAACAAAAACCAAAGCAATTATTTATACTGGAAAAAATATAAAGTTGTTCAAAAAGGAAATGTTATCATAGTATATACTATCACAGCTATGAATAGTAGAAACTATAATATATATTTTATATATATTATATATATTTAAATAATAAATATTTATTTAAACAGAATTGCCAATATAACAAATTTGGGAAAATGGGAATGAAGAATATTAAGTGAACATACAGACGCACTTTAGATATATTTAGTTCTGGACCATGGCAATAAAGCAAGCATCGTAATAAAGTGAGTCAAATGAATTTTTTGGTTTCCTGGGGCTTATAAAAGTTATGTTTACAATACGATGTAGTCTATTAAATGTGTCATATCATTGTGTCTAAAAAAGTACATACCTTAATTTAAATATACTTTACTGCTAAAAATTGCTAGGCATTATCTGAGCTCTCAGTGAATCATAATTACTAATCACCAATCACAATAACAAATGTAATAATAATGAAAAAGTTTGAAATATTGCAAAATTGCCAAAATAAGACACTGGGACATGAAGTGAGCAAATGCTCTTGGAAAAATGGTGCCAATAGACTTGCATGACACAGGGTCACCACAGACCTTCAATTCATAAAAAAATGCACTATTTGTGAAGTGCAATAACATGAATCACAGTAAAACAAGGTGTGCCTGTACTTGAGGGAGATAATTTGAGCGAGCTAAATTTCCATTTACCATAATAGCAAGTCAACAGATGATAGCTAAAGTAAAAAATGAAAAAAAAAGTCTATATAAGCACACAGTTTAGATACATGGAGATAAAACCAGAATAAACAGCCAAGAAAGTTCAGAGAAGTTGCTTAAGAGGAGTGGGAATTTGGGAATGAGAGTCAAAGGGGCAGGATTCTACTATTTTCTTCTGTAAGCTAACTGTTCCACTTGGGTGTTTAAAAAAGAGATATACTCATTGGTTTCATAAAAACAAAACAAACAGACAAAAAAAAAAAAAAAAACCCGTGGAAAGAAACACATATCCCGTGTGTGGACCCAAATAGTAGTCACACAGCAGTTTTTCTCTCTCTTCCCCCACCTATTCTAAGAACGCCTCTGTTTCCTCGTAAAGAGTTCTTGGAATCTCTATGTGGTATCTCGCAAGTGTTCTGTGAATTTATTCTCTTGGCTGCCTTGAAGTTTCTGTTCGTGCTCTTCTCCCTTCAGAGGCCAGCTGAAGGCCACACCCCTGCCGGCTGCAGACTCTCACTGATCTCTGTTCCCAAGGCTGCCAATACCTGGTGTCAAATTGTTGATGTTTGTGCCAGGGACGCCACTTCTTGTCACTGCCGCTGCTGGCTCCAAGGCTGATGACATGTAACACCCTCACTGCCCCTCCCTCAGTTGTCTTTTTCCTAAATGGGAGAAATTTCTGTCAGTTCACAGAATCAGGAAGTGATATTCTCTCTTGAGCATATGCTTTTGTCTCTTATACTGCAAAATTGACTGTACAAATCAGTGTATATGGACGGTACAAATCCTTTTATCAACTCAGAAAGAAACCGCATTCCCATTAGAAGTCATACTCCCATCTATTGAAGGCCTTAGCAAGAAAAGCCTGAGGTCCCTGGAAAAAGAGGGACTTGAGCCTTCCATACCAACTCTTCCCTGAATGTCCAGCCTGCTGGTCGGTTTTAACTTGCCAGTCTACACAATTATGTGAGCCAGTTTCTTCTCTGGAGAACCCTAATACAGATCTTGAAATCATACAATATGTGCCTTTTCTCTCTGTTTTTTTTTTTTTTTTTTCAGTTAGCATTATGTTTTCAGGGTCCATCCATGTTCCAGCATGAATCCATTCTTCATTCCTTTTTACAGCCAAATATTGTGCAGATATACCATATTTTGTTTCTCCATTCATTAGCTGATGGACATTTGTGTTGTTCCTACTTCTAAATATTACAAATAAGACTGCTACAAACATCTTTGTGCAAAGTTTTGTACAGACAACTTTCAGTTCTCTCAGGGTTCTCTTCAATATGTGGCTGTGGCTGTACTGTGTTATATTTCTACCAGCATTGTATGTGGGCTCCAATTTCCCCACATCCTTACCAACACTTGTTAGTGCCTCTTTTTGATTATTGCCATTCTAGAGGGGGTAAAGTGGTATTGTTCATTGCGGCTTTAGTTTGTATTTCCTTGATGGCTAATGAGAAGCTTTTCCTGTTTATGTTTAGGTCATCCAAGAGCTGCTCCATGCATTCTGTCCAAGTTTTGTAGCTGTGTTCAGTGGGAGAGAGAGGAGGGAATAGCTTACTCCCTCTTACCTAGAAACAGAAATCTGTTAGTTTTTGATACTTACAAAAATAGTATCTGCATTTTCTAATTACTATTGCTGGTGAATGTAAATGCATTTGATTTGATTTAATCTTGATTTGATTGAAAATTTGCTAAACTCTCTTATTAATTCTAATAGTTTTATCATCTGCAGACAATGAAGATTTTGTTTCTATTTTTCTGATTATTTGTTTATTTATTTTACATTATTGTGTGAGCTAACTACTCCAGAACAATAAGGTAAATTAGAAATGGTGATGATAAAAGACACACTTGTTTTCTTTCAGGTCTTGCAGGGAATATTTTCAATATTTCACTGTAACATTTGGAGTACGTTATTTGGCGTAGATACAGGTTACCAGGCTAAGAAAATCCTTTCGGTGTTTTTGTTTAAATCTTTAATGGGTATTGGATTTTACTAAATGCATTTTCTGCACATATTGAAGAGAAGGATCTATGTGTATATATATATGTGTGTGTATGTCTCTGTGTGTATATATATATGTTTGTGTATACATATGTGTATATATATGTATGTGTATATGCACATATGTGTACATATATGTGTATATATGTGTGTGTGTGTGTGTGTGTGTGTGTATTGCTTTTTGGCTCTTAACACGGTATAGTTGATTTTCTTTTTTTTTTTTAATTTTTTTTTAACGTTTATTTATTTTTGAGACAGAGAGAGACAGAGCATGAACAGGGGAGGGTCAGAGAGAGAGGGAGACACAGAATCGGAAACAGGCTCCAGGCTCTGAGGGGTCAGCACAGAGCCCGACACGGGGCTCGAACTCACGGATCGCGAGATCGTGACCTGAGCCAAAGTCGGCCGCTTAACCGACTGAGCCACCCAGGTGCCCCGGTATAGTTGATTTTCTAATATCAAACCAATGTTTAGATTGTTTACAAAGGTGGCCACAACACTCCTCTCTTCCCATTCCTTATATTCCTTTGCCATGTCACTTTGGTATTCATCCCCCTCAAGAGGTGGAGTCCCTTCCTCTTGAATCTGCTTTGGCCTGTGTTTTGTTTAATTAGAATGTGGCAGGAGAAACACTGAGTGATTTCTGACCCTTGGGCTCAAGTGATTTTGTTCTTTTGCTCTCTCCTTCTTAGAATGCTTCTCTCAACATGGAAAAAGCCCAGGATTGCCCTCATGGAGAGAGAGGCCACAAATCCCAGCCTTTCCAGACATCCCAAATGAAGTCCCAGATATGTGAGTAAGGTCATCTTAGGCCATCCAACCCCAGCTGACTGCAGCCACGAAAGTAACCCGGGCAAGACCAGCCCAGCCAACCCATAGTATTGTGAGAAATAATAAACTTTTGCAAGCCACTGTTTCTAAGTGTCGTCATTTTGGTTTTGGTGTTTTGTTTTGCTTTTAACGCAGCATAGGTAACTGATACACTCATCTTGCATTCTTGAGTGAGACCCAACTTGGATGTGGCATATTATCATTTCATATATTGCTAGATTCCTTTTCCTAACATTTTGTTTAGGATATTTGCTTCTATGTTTGAATGAGTTTGGTCTGTAATTTTCCTTTCATGTAGTGTCACTAAGTTTTTGATGTTGAAGGAGTTGGGTGTGTTTCTCTTTTTCAGTCCCTGGAATAGTTTATATAAGGCTGAAATCATTTGCTTCTTGAATTATTGAGACCTCACTACTAAAATTGTCTGGGTCTGTTGTTTTCTTTTGTGGGAATAATTTAAGCTGATTCAGTTTAAAAAATTCTATAGGTTTTCTATTTTTTCCTGAGTCAGTTTTAGTAAGCTATATTATTCTGTTTTCAAATTCATTAGCAAAAAGTTGCTCCAACTATTTCTTTTAAAATGTTGTTAAAAAAGTATCTTCCTATGTTTAAAGTCTCTTCAGCATCTATGGTTATATCCTATAGTTTTATTTCTAATATTATTTGTACGTTCCCTTTTTTGCCTTGATTGATCTTTAAAGAGGTTTGTCTTTTTAATGACTAATCTTTTGGTTTGGATGCTCCTCTATTTTCTACTTAATTTTATATATTTATAAGTGTATTATGCATATATAAATATATTTACATATAAATATATATAAACATTCTATGTTATTTAATATACTTACAAGTTTATATTATATAATATATATTTAATATATAATACACATATAAATATATTATATTTTAGTATTTCTTTTTACTTTCTCAGTAATATTTTATTGTATTCTTGTGCCACAATTTATTTATCCATTCATTTGTTGATGGATATTTGTGTTGTTCCCATTTCCATCATAAGCAATGTTACTATGTACATTCTTGATTATATGTCTTGATGCACATGCACATGAGTTTCTCCAGGACGTATAACATAGAGTCGAATTTCTGCATCCTAGGGGGATGTGTCTGAAAATTTGATAATATAAATACCACACTCTAATCATCCCATTTGTTCCATATGCCCACCAGCATTTGGCATTGTCAGATTTTATTTTTTTATTATTTTTAAATATGAAATTTATTGTCAAATTGGTTTCCATACAACATCCAGTGCTCATCCCAACAGATGCCCTCCTCAATACTCATCACCCACCCTCCCCTCTCTCCTACCCCCCATCAACCCTCAGTTCTTGGTTTTTAAGAGTCTCTTATGTTTTGGGTCCCACCCTCTCTAACCCTTTTTTTTTTTTTTTCCTTTCCCTCCACCATGGTCTTCTGTTAAGTTTCTCAGGATCCACGTAAGAGTGAAAGCATATGGTATCTGTCTTTCTCTGTGTGACTTACTTCATTTAGCATAACACTCTCCAGTTTCATCCGCATTGCTACAAAAGGCCATATTTCATTCTTTCTCATTGCCACATAGTATTCCATTGTGTATATAAACCACAATTTCTTCATCCATTTGTCAGTTGATGGACATTTAGGCTCTTTCCATAATTTGGCTATTGTTGAAAGTGCTGCTGTAAACATTGGGGTACAAGTGCCTCTATGCATCAGCACTCCTGTATCCCTTGGGTAAATTCCTAGCAGTGCTATTGCTGGGGCATTGTCAGATTTTAAAGTTTTGGCAATCTGGTAGATGTATAATGGTATCTCATGGTGGTTTTTTGTTGTTGTTGTTTGGTTTTTGGGTTTTTTTCCTGCTGCATATGTTCATTTTTTATTATTTGTTACTGCAAAATTATTTATACAGATACAGAATTATTTATAGATCATATACACATATGCAAATAATTTATAATGTAGAAAGTAAAAATCTCTAACCACTTACGATACCTCTCTACCTCTTTCAACACCCATCCCCAAGAAGTAAACACAGTCAAACTTTTGGTATCTTTCCAGACTTTTTTGAAGAATATTCAGGCATACACTTTATTTTCACAAAATGATATCATACTTTACCTATTGGTTTAAAAAAATTTTTTTTAATGTTTTACTTATTTTTGAGAGAGAGAGACAGAGAGAGACAGAGCATGACTGGGGAGGGGCAGAGAGAGAGAGGGAAACACAGAATCCGAAGCAGGCTCCAGGCTCTGAGCTGTCAGCACAGAGCCCGACGTGGGGCTCAAACCCACAGACCGCGAGATCATGACCTGAGCCAAAGTCGGATGCTCAACCGACTGAACCACCCAGGCACCCTTTACCTATTGTTACATGATCGTTTCACTTCATAATTAATAACAATTCAGACTTACCTCTAGTTAAAAAAAATTTTTTTTAACATTTATTCATTTTTGAGAGACAGAGAGAGACAGAGCCTAAGTGGGGGAGAGGCAGCGAGAGAGGGAGACACAGAATCTGAAGCAGGCTCCAGGCTCTGAGCTGTCAGCACAGAGTCTGACATGGGGCTCAATCTCACAGACTGCAAGATCATGACCTGAACTGAAGTCAGATGCTTAACTGACTGAGCCACCCAGGCGCTCCCAGACTTACCTCTAATTTTTAAATGGCCACTGAGGTTTCTATTTTACAACTATTTTGGCAACCACTCTCCTACTGTTGACATAGATGTCTCATAGTTTGAGCTATTATAAATAATATTCCATATAAATATATCCTTGCACATGCTTGTGCAAGTATCTCTATAGAATGTAAATCTAAAACCGTAAGTTAAAAGTATTTTAAATTTTGGGGCATCTGGGTGGCCCAGTTGGTTAAGCATCTGACTCTTGATTTTTCTTTTTTTTTTTTTTTTAATTTTTTTTTTTTCAACGTTTATTTATTTTTGGGACAGAGAGAGACAGAGCATGAACGGGGGAGGGGCAGAGAGAGAGGGAGACACAGAATCGGAAACAGGCTCCAGGCTCTGAGCCATCAGCCCAGAGCCCGACGCGGGGCTCGAACTCACGGACCGCGAGATCGTGACCTGGCTGAAGTCGGACGCTTAACCGACTGCGCCACCCAGGCGCCCCCTGACTCTTGATTTTGGCTCAGGTCGTGATCTCACGGTTTGTGGGTTTGAGCCCCACATCCGGCTCTGCACTGACATTGCAGAGCCTGCTTGAGATTCCCATTCGAGCCCTCTCTCTCTCTCTCTCTCTCTCTCTCTGCCCCTCCCCCACTTGTGCATGTGCCCTCTCTTCTCTTTCAAATAAATAAATATTAAAAAAATTTTTTTAAATATTTTAAATTTTGATAGTTATTATCACACTGTGATGATATTTATTATTTGACAGTTAGTCGTTGCTCTGAATAGGTTGTCACAATTCACCCTTGCACCAGGAGTATATGAGTTTTCTTTCCCCATATGCTAGGCAAACCTGGACTTCATATGTTTTAACTTTTTGTAATTTGGTGGGCACCAATAGGACCTCATTTTTTACAATTTTTTAAAAATGTTTATTTATTTTTGAGACAGAGAAACAGAGCTTGAGCAGGGGTGGGGTAGAGAGAGAGGGAGACACAGAATCCGAGGCAGGCCCCAGGCTCTGAGCTGTCAGCACAGAGCCAATGTGGGGCTCAAACTCACACTGTGACATCATGACTTGCGCGGAAGGGGGGGATGGAGGGGTGGGAGGAACGTCACATTCGCCTGTCTTAGAAAGGTTCTCTGATTCAGCAGAATTAGATTTTCTTCCAGATTTCAAGGTCATTGCCATTGGCTGTCAGCTCACTGTGGGAGGCCAGACAGGAGCTCTCTCCACCTGAACTGGCTCATCTGGCTCCAGTATCCCCTTATCTGATAATGTACAATTGCCTTTTCTGTACAGAACAAAAACAATATCAGGCTCCGATCTAGAGCTGCTTTTCCCTAAAACAATGAAAACAGAAATATTTGTCTTTTTATAGTGAAATAGAATTGACAAGCAGTTAAAAAAAAGGTAAGATAAGGCAAGCTCAGAAATAACCAAGTAAATCACCTCCCTTTATGTTGATGAGTCTTTAAAAACTAATGTGACTTTGAATGAATACTCAACCACAGCCATGTGGAAGCACTGATAATATGTTTCAAAGTATTTCCCCACAGCATACTTCTTCACTGAAATAGATTACCGCCCCCCTGACACCCCTACCTCTACTATATACAGACTAAATTTAGAACTTTTGAGTAACGAATTTGAAGAAAAGAGGGAAATGATCTAATTATCTGAAGCTCCTGGGGCACCTGGGTGGCTCAGTCGGTTGAGTAGCTGACTTTTGATTTCAGCTCAGGTCATGATTTCACGGTTTGTGGGATCAAGCCCTGTGTCAGGCTCTGTGCTGACAGCACGGATCCTGCTTGGGATTCTCTCTCCCCGTCTCTCTCTGCCTCTCTGCTGCTCATGCATGAATATATACTCTCTCTGACTCTCTCTCTCTCTCAAAATACACAAATAAACATTTAAAAAACTGTACAAATTATCTGAAACTCCTTAGAATATACTGAATTATAACATTTTGGGGAAAGACATAATATCTTATTTAAAAAATACCAATAGGCTTGCTGGGTGAGAGAACTGGAGGGTTAGCAGGACAAAGGAGTTGACCTTTATGCAAGGGAATGGTTATAAGGATGGGGTGGAATCCAAACTGGGGAAGGAGCCCAGTAGTTCTGTTGTTACAGATGTGATTACCGGGATTAATTTATTATGGGTATGACCCAGTAGGGTGAGTCTTCCACTCTTAATGTTTCAGCTATACTACTGAAGTCATTGTTATTTGCATTGTGATACTTTTCCCCCCTCATTTGTGCTACTCATTTGTCTACCTTTACTGTCATCTTCTGTCAGGAAAGAAGACGCATAGAGAAAACTCCATTTGACAAGCTACTCTCCAACCATATCTTCATATTCCCCCACAATATCTGGTTTTGTCAAAAGTTTTTCTTCTCTGTCTAGGTTTCTGTCCTGCAGTAAACACAGGGCGTTGCATAGATATGATCTCACTATG